GGGTTATTTGCACTTTTTAAAAAGTTTGGGCCTATAGTTGCAATTTATTGAATTTTTTTTCTTTTCTTTTCTTGAATTTTTTTTTCTTTTCTTTTCTTTGTGTCTAAATTGAATAGGGGGTAAAATCGTCAAAAAACAGTGAAAAAGATGTTCAGCGCACCAAAACCCCAAAGGTAAGGGCATGAATGCCAAGAAATGAAAGGTAGGGATGGTTTCCGAAATTCACCCCAAAGGTAGGGACGTTTTGTGCTAATTAATCGATAAATTAAAGGTGTCAAAATGTGTAGGCTTGTCAATTACAATCCAAGCCCGATCCTCATGCTTAGTGTTAGAAAATATGGATTATGGGTCGTCCATGTGGGGTGATCCGACCCACAAAATATCAAAAGGGTTAGAGGGAGTGATTTGAATTTGGAATTCAAATCCACAATTCCCCATAACCTCCCATAAAATCTTCAATTTTTTTTTGTTTAGCAATGTAGAGAAAAAAGATGGTAGAAAAATGGTGAAAATTCGTATGGAAAATATCCTCAAGATTGAAAAGCACCTAAAAACACTAGTTTGACATGAAAGCTCACAAAAATTGGGACTTAAGTTGTGGCTAATAATCGAGTGCAAGAAAATTACAGATTTGGAGTTTTAGAAAGTAAGGTGATTCAACCATTTAAAAGATCTTGAAATTCATAACGTGAAGTAAATATCTTGACCCGAAATTCTTGTTAAAGTATGCTTCGAATTATTTCATTGGTATCAGAGCCATAATGTTGATTTCCTTGTTGTAATACATGCCTAAATATGACATTACATGATACAATTGGGTTATGAATTTTATATGTAAAGTCTTGAAACCTTATGTGGTCTTAATGATAACTTTTGATAATTTATTGCTTTCTATACATTAATAATTACGCAATAAAATTAGTATTGTTAGAAAGGTATTTTAATAAGTTTCCAACCATATAAAGAACTTAAATTTTGGATTTAAAACAAAGAAATTATAAGGGTTTGAAGTTTGGATGTAAATATGAATTTTTACATGAAGATCGGTAACATTTGAAACTTCATCACATGATAACTTCTTCTACACTATGTTTCATACTTCCCATTTAGTATGGTTGGATAGATATTCTTGAGACCTTTCTAATGATATAAAGATCGTTAATTTTGGTCTTGAAATGAAGAAATTATGCCCTTGTTTGACACCTATTTTTTATCTCAATCTCATTCTCATTTTTCTACAGTACTCATTTCTAACCACACATTCTTCAAATAAAATAATATTACACATAAACCCAAAAATTCTTCTTACTTTTTAACCACACATTCTTTACATCAATCACTATTCAAAAACTAATTCTTCAAAATAATTGGTGTCAAACGGGGGCTATATATTCATCAAGCTCAAGTAGAACTTGAATTATATAGCTCTATTTATAGAGAANTCAAATAAAATAATATTACACATAAACCCAAAAATTTTTCTTACTTTTTAACCACACATTCTTTACATCAATCACTATTCAAAAACTCATTCTTCAAAATAATGGGTGTCAAACGGGAGCTATGACCTCCCAAAATTTGGATGTAAATCTAATTTTTTTGTAAGAAAATTGG